TGGAGAGAACAATCATGGGAGAATAGAAGGGCTGTGTATGCACAAGGAGACAGCTCAGGGGGCAGGAGTGCATGGAGGGAGGGACAAAAGGAAGAGGCAACTATGGGCAGGAAGAAGGAGGGGAGCTGTTGCATTGTGGGAAACTGTAGTCAATGTCATGAGAAACAGTATATGGGAGCTGCTGTATGGAAAGTGAATTTGCTCTGTAAACTTTCACGCAAATCACAATTAAAAAAAAAGAAATAAATTTCAGCCTTAGAAAACCTATGGGGCATTTCTACTCTGTCCTTTAGAGACACTATGAGTCAGAATTGACTCGATGGCATATAACAACAACAAAAACAATGACAGCTAAATTATTTTATCATCTGAAGATAAAATCTGTAATTAAAGATTCATTGACTCACCAGTATTAATGGAAAATCTGTTCACTAAATGTAGGGCTCATTTACTGGGAACTTGGTCATTGACCATCTGATGCTTTAATGGCATAGAACAAAATAGCTTTAAAATACTTATGCCACTGACCATTGCTTTACCATTTTACTGCAGCTCTATGGAAAATGCAGTAAATCAGTTCCAACATCAGAGTAATATCACAAGATAAATTTACTGAATCTTAACTATGTTGCTTATTTAAACATTTCTAGGCAAAATGAAGCCCTTTTCCAGGAAACCATCTTTTCATCATCTATAACTGAGTGGATAATAAGAGAAAAATGAAAATTAGACCTTGTTTTCACTACTGGAATTACAGTATCGCAGTAATAAATTTTTCTGCTAATATTGCCTCTGAACTGAAAAAAGATTTTAAAAAATCTCACTTCTTTTTGAAGTCAAACATGGGTATTCTTATCTTTTCTCTCTGTCTTATCCCACAGCCAGTCAATTATCAAATCCTGCTAATTTTAGCTTCTAAAATTATATTCAGGAGCTCTGGTAGCATAGTGCCTAAGGCACTTGACTGCTAACCAGAAGGCTGGCGGTTCAAACTCACGAGCCACTCCTCAGAAGGAAGGTTGGGCAATCTACTTCCATAGTGATACTGCCTGGGAAACCCAAGGAGGGGTCGCTCTGAGTCAGGGCCGACTTGATGGCACATAACAACAACAACAAAATTATATTCCTCAGATTGCCCCATCACAATCCCCTACCTGACTTTCGGCCACCATCAACCCCTCCTGCCTAGATTCTTGCATCACCCTGACCTTCATTCTCCCAACTTTTCCTATACATAGAAAGCCTGATATTGAAGTTCCCTTACTCAAACCCTTCAATGGCTCCTCAGTGCCTGCCCCTTTCCCTTCCACGTATATTTACCATGTGCCTACTATGTGCCAGACACAGTCGTAGAACCTTCAGATGAACCAGGCTCTTTGATAAGACTCACAAGGAGCTCCTCAATGTGGTACTTGCATGTTCCCTCATCTGCCAGTCACACTCCAATTCTTCAATCTATTGATGTGATCTGCTCCATAAACTCATCATCCTGTCTCTGGCCTCTTTGTCTAGAAGGCTTCCCTTCCTCACCCCACTCTAGCTTTATGGGTCTTTAAAACTCTAGAAGCCTCTTCTCTAGAAGGCTTCTTTAACCACCATTCCACACACCCTCCCCCACTACTACTTGGGTGCCCCTGTTCTGAACACCCATAAAGCCCTGTGTACACTTATACCATTGTACTTATCATACTCTATTATTGTTTTCCATTCTGAGTCAATTTCTTCTACTAAAACATTAAACTCATTGAAGATGGGGGGAATGTCTGTTAAATGAATTACAAATAAGTAAAATAGACCGAGACAAGGAACAGACTCTCCTACTTCCAAAACATTTTAGATTAAAATTGACATTAGGGATACTGAGATGCTCAATTTATGCAAATCAGATTTCTTCCATTTGACATGGATCTAGAGAATGCTGACAGCCTATGGCATTATTTGTAATAGCTACAACCTTTTCTAACCAGGAATTCCCATGATGGTGGCCTAGACTATTCAGCTTTCTTCCTTGATCCATACTTTATAAGACTGTCAGAGCACAAAATGTATTACATAGCTTAACACAACCCTGAAGGAGAGGCCACCAGCAACCAGGCACATGAGCCATGACTTAAACCATAACACAAACATCTCTCTGTAGCTGGTGTGTACATGAGGAGACAACCAAAAAAAAAAAAAAAAAACCACACACACACAAGAAACTCAGCATTACGATGAAAATCCTCAAAAAGAAAAATGCATCTAGATGCAACAATGGGTCTCTCCTCATCCAGAGCAAAGAAGAATGAAGAAAACCAAAGATGCACGGAAACAATTAGTCCAAGGGACTGGTAGACCATGTGATCCTCAGCCTATATGACCATGAGAACAGAAGAGCTAGATGGTGCCTGGCTACCACTGTAAACCATTTGAAAAGGGATCAGTACAGGAGATCCTGTAAAGAATGGGGAGAACAATGTGAAACAAAACTCAAAATCATTAAAAAAAAAAAAAAATTCAGGTTTACAGGTCTGATAGAGCCTGGTGAGACTCCCGAGACTATGGCCCCAGTTACTCTTCAGGCCCAGAATTGAACTCACTTCCATGGCTTCCAGTCAAACAACAGACAGGCATATAGGGTGAACATTTACATCAGGTATATACAGTCCTTACAACAATCGATCCTGGGAGAACAGACGGGCAGTATTTGCACAGGGAGATAGCTTGCAGGGAAAGAACACATAGGAAAGAAGGACACAGGGAAGAGGTAACTACAGGGCGAAAGTGGGAAGAGAGCTGTTACACTGTGGGGAATTGCAGTCAACGTCATGAAACAAAATGTGTATGAACTGCTGTATCAAAAATGAATTTCTCTGTAAATTTTCACCGCCCAAGAAAAACCACAGAAAGTATTATAAATGGTGCTGTTTTGAAGGAAAATGATCCAAAGTTGGTGCAAAGAATGGCTATAGGTGGAAAGAAACAGAAAGGAAGAAATCTCCACAGCAAGCTCTGTTCCTGTGAAACTTTGTGCAATTTTCTGGCTCTCCTTGATCTAAAGTTTGAAGTGTTCCTATAGCAGCAGAAGCCACCAGAAGAGCCAGAATAAGTGCCTAAGAAACAGTGACAACCACTATAAGGGGGAACTCAGAGGGAAAGGTCTTTAATTAATTTGGAAAAATTTTATACAAGAGATGGTATATGAGAGAAGGGGGTGTTACATTACGACAAGTAGAAATAGGGGGCAAAGCAAGGGAGGACAACTGAGCAGAAAAAAAAGTCATTCACCAGGACTATATAATGATTAGGAGGAATTATTTTGTTAACATTCTGGTACAAGAAGTCCTCTTTATTGAGAAGATGGTTTGATATGTACCAAAGGGGAAATATCTGAGTCTTCAGAGCCTGGTGCTGAGCAGAACTATTTTGCATGAGGCAGGAGGAAGATTTGCTTATTGCTCCAGAGAGGGACAGAGAAGAAAGTGGAAAAGGTGAAGCAAGCTGAAAAATAAGGCATTCTTTTCCAACTAAAGGAATACCAGCTGAGAAGAATAATTGGCAACCAAGCATAGATAACAAGATATAAGAATATTTCTCTGTTGTTTTGCTTGTCTTGCCAAGTTAATGTGTTTTGTATTTTTTTTTTTAAATTATCATCATCATCATCATATCATATCATCATCATCAACAACAACAGTCACTCCTCAGCTCCCAAATGTAATATTGCTGAAAACAGATAGTGGTCCCCCATCACCTACTTTGATGAATATGGCCTAACAGAAAAAAAAATCTAAGTTGTCCATATTGTTGACAGAGAGCCCAGTGTACTTAGAACACTGGTCCTAAAAACTGGGAATTCAGCAACTGGTTGTATAAGAGGTTGCTTATTCAGTTGAAAATCAGTTTGGAGGAGTCTTATCAAAGCCAAATCCCTGTCTACATAAAATACGGTGCCTCTGAGTTTAGTTTTATTGGCTGAGTCCTACATAAATGCAATAAAAGCTTATGATACTGTTTCCCTTGCAATAAATATCCACTTTAACAAATTGGATAGTAGAAGGAAACTGGGTTCTAAAAAGTATAAATATCGATAACCCAGAACCGAACAAGGAAGTAATTGTACTAACCCTGTGCAAGCTCAGGTTTAGTGACCCAAGACCAGCCCATTAGTAGTCAGCTGTGAGACCTCAAGCTTCCCTGAAGGTTCTGTACTACAAGAGGCTGGTTTGGCTGTCTGCACAATTAGAAGGGCCAAGGTGAATTTGCAGCTAGAGGTCCCTGTCCTTTATTCCCTTTTCATCTTTGCCTAAATGGTCACCCAGAGATACTGATGGGTTTGTAGAGGCTTGAAGGAACAGCCTGAAAGAGTAAAACTGTTTGCTTTCTTAAAACAACAAAAAAAATCAAGTCACCTTCAAAATGAGATTATTGGCCTTGGGGGAAAGCCCTTAGGATTCCACTCATGAGCCGAACCACCATCTCTGTCAATGGAAGGACGCCCATGTGCAGGGATATTAGTGGTGCTGAACTGTGACCATAGAGGAGGTTTAATGACTTCTGTGTGTGTGCATAAAGCACATATCCTCTTTTAGACACACACCTCTCCCACACACATACAGCAGGAATTATCTTCATCTAGAAAGATAGTGACAAAAAATGTTAGCCTATGTATAATTTTGGAGAAGCAGTGATAAGTAAATAGGTCACTAGGTAGAGGTGATGACTATATTATGTATCTCCTCTGTGGCAGAGGGCAACAGAAAGCTATTATCCAGATAAGACTAGTTTTAAGGATGTTGTTGTTGTTGTTGTTATGTGCCGTCGAGTCGGCCCCGACTCATAGCGACCCCTCCTTGGGTTTCCGAGGCAGTATCACTACGGAAGTAGGATTGCCCAACCTTCCTTCCAAGGAGTGGCTGGTGGGTTTGAACCGCCAGCCGTCTGGTTAGCAGGCAAGTATCTTAGCCACTATGCTGAGGGGGTCTTTGATGGAAAAGTAGTGGGCAAGACAGGTTCCTTACCTCTTCTCCCAGCTCTATGTCTCGCACTGCACGCAGTAAGAGGTGGGGTCCATTGAACACAATCGAACAGTTGGGGTCACAGCTGTGGTTGAGCAAAGACATACTGGGGGGAAGGAAAAAAAGGCAGAGACTATTATGGCTCAGCAGATAGAGGACAAACAACTACATTTAATGAATACTATGGGCAAAGAGAGTCAGTGAGAAATGGGGAAGGCCCTTAACAAGATGGAGTCATACAGTGGCTGCAACAATGGGCTCAGGTATAACAAGGATTGTGAGGCTGGTGCAAGACCAGGCAGTGTTTTGTTCTGTTGTACATAGGGTCACTATGAGTCGGAGCAGACTTGATGGCACCTAACAACAGCAATGACATGGGCAAAGAAGTATCCCTGGTGGTGCCATGGGTAAAGTGTTCAGCTGCTAACTAAAAGGTCGGCAGTTGGAGCCTACAAGCCATTCCCTGGTAGAAAGGTGTGACAGTGTGTTTCTGTAAAGATTACAGTCTTGGAAATCCTATGAGGCAGTTCGACTCTGTCCTTTAAGGTCATGATGAGTCAGATTCAACTCCACAGCAGTGGGTCATGGGCAAAAGGAACTTCAGTTTGTGTGAGCAGTAAGATGGACAGGACCTCAGTGATTGAGGGCTCTGGGGCGTTCACAGAAAGGCAACCAGCTCACTTCATATGAAGTGAAATGCTCTCCAAGTCACAGCCAATAAGGAATGTTGGTTAATAAAAACATTTTCTGAGTCCTTTTCAAGGATAAGGGTGGGGAAGCAATGTCCTATTAGAAATCACTCATTAAGGTAACCCAACATGAACATGGGGGAAAAAAAAACTGACCTGCAAAGAAGTAATTTCTGAGCTAATGGGATGTAGTAGTAATCACTGCAGCTAATATACCACGTACCTTTCCTACACGGGATCTCATTTTTTGAGCTCCTTTGGAGGAAATGCAACCTCTGCTGTGGATATTCTATATCCACAGCTACCGCTGCTCCATGGAAGGAAGATGGGGCAATCTATTTCCATAAAGATTTACAGCCTTGGAAACCCAATGGGGGTCACTAAGATTCAGAACTGACTGGATGGCAGTGGGAAATGCTGAGATTATCTTGCTAATTAGTTCCTGATGCATTCTGGGTCTTAGTCTATTACCTCTTATTCTATTACTCTGGAGGTGTACTTTTACCATCTGAGAAATGCATCAAATTTAAGCTGGCACCATAAATTAATAATAAATTATAATAATTGTAAGTGAGCACTTTGTTAGCACTTGAGTATGCATTAAGCATGTAGTGCTTGTAGAAGGGGAGGCTAGTAGCTAAGTCATGAGATTTTACCTCAATGAGAGCTGGAGACAGTACTTCAGATGGTCAAGCCCTCAAAATTTTTTGCCTCTTGGAGCAATGGGGCTCAGAGTGTGTGAACCAAATAGACAAAAAGAACCCAACTGGGATAGTATAGCAAGTCTGGTGAAATAATCATGTGCTTCAACCCTGGAGGTTGGGGAATGAGATCAGGGCATTAAGGGGATGATCAAATCTTAGCCTAAGGGTTTATTGTTGTTGTTATGTGCCACTGACTCGTCTTCAACTCATAGTGACCTTATGTGCAACAGAATGAAACACTGCTCGGACCCTTACCAGCCTCACAATCCTTGCTATACCTGAGACCATCACTGCAGCCACTGTGCCAATCCATCTTGTTGAAGGTCTTCCCCTTTTTCATCGACCCTCCACTTTACCAAGCATGACATCCTTCTCCAGAGAATGGTCCCTTCTAACAACATGACCAAAGTAGGTGAGATGAAGTCTGGCCATTCTCGCCTCCAAGGAGCAGTCTGGCTGTACTTCTTCCAGGACAGACTTGTTTATTAGCACCCTCAATCCTTGACTTCTTACCCAAACATGTCCCTGAGAACTAGAATTTAGATCTGAGGTCCGTCTCTTTGTTATGCCCACGGCACATAATGTGGGTTTATGAAACTGTTTTCTTTAAACTTAACATTTTCTACTATTTTTGTAATTTATCGTTAAGCTTCAAGTTTAGATCTTGGCCAGCTGCTGCCACAGGCTTTCTAACTACCTTTAAAAGGCTAGAGAGCTAGGTGTGAATTAAAGTTGTTCCTTCTAGTAAATGAAATATTGTCCACTATACCTAGGATATAGCCCAACACCAACTTCCTGCATCTCTGCATTACAGATGGCGAAAGAGTTGCAGATCACCTGTAAAAACAAGGGAGGGACAATCAGGATTACCAGAGTCATTAAGAAACTTCACAAGTGAGAGAACATTTTCAAAATAAAATATAGGAGACTTTTAGTAGTTGCTTTGGAAAGATCCAAATAAAACATGGATGTCTTTTCATTTGCAAAACAACATATCTGGGACACACTCTCCTTAAGAACATCAGGCAGTTAAGTGCAGAAATACCAACAGCCTATAAAAAGCACAGGATTAAACTAGCACTGGGCCCATTAATTTCAGTCTAATCCCCTTCTCCCCCCAAATTACACAGTTACATGAAATGTTCAAGACTCAAATATAAATCAGCTATTTATTGAGAACTAGCAGCTTGTCTTTTATTAACATAAGGAGTGAGGTACAACCAGAATGGGTCTGTGACCCAAGCTGATGACAGGCCACAACAAGAACAGGAAGGCATTCAGTCAAACTAGATGTTTACTAGGCATATGGACTGCATGCACAGCACAATACTATCCCCTATTATTGAACTTAAAGAATTTAAAACCTCATTTGTGGAATAAGGTAAATGCATGAGGGTGGAAAGAACACTGGACCTGGAATCCAAAAACCTTGGTCCTGGTCACACATCACTGCCTCAGACAGGTGTTGGGGAGATGGCAGTGTACAAAGAAAGAGAAAAAGCTCACTGCCTCCCTGGAGCTTATCGTTTATAGTTGTAGTGAGGGAGAATGACGAAAAACCCAACGACATATAAATTGTCGGATGGGGGATAAATAAGGAGAAAAATAAAGGAAAGGAAAGGAACAGAAGAAAAGTGTTCAGGGAAATACAGTGGTCAGGAAGGTTCTCTAGGATAAGGTGACATTTAACGAGAAACCTGAAGGAAATGAACATGTGTATATCCAGGCGATGAGTGATCATTTCAGGAAAAAGAGCAAGTGCCAAAGCCTGAGGTAGGAATGTGCTTGATGTTGGTGAAGAGTCCAAAAAGAAGGTTCATGTCATCAAAACAGATTATGTAAAAAGAAGAGATCAGAGAGGTCGCTAGGTCATTTAGGGCCTCCTAGCCACTCCTCGGAAGGAAGATGGGGCAATCTACTTCCATAGTGATACTGCCTCGGCAACCCAAGGAGGGGTTGCTATGAGTCGAGTCCGACTTGACAGCACACAACAACAAGAAGTCACATTAAAAGAGCTGTGGGGGTGCAGTGGGTAAGGGCTGCTAACCAGAAGGTTGGAGATTCAAACCCACCAGCTGTTCTGTGGGAAGAAGACTAGGCAATCTACTTTTGTAAAGATTTACAGCCTTGGAAACACAATGAGGTCACTATGATTCAGAATCGACTCGATGGCAGTGAGGTTTTATTTTTTTGTAGCCATATTAAAGACTTGGGATTTTATTTTAGACAGAAAGTCACTAGAGGATTCTGAACTGAGGAGTGAATGGATCTGATATCTGTTTTGATACGATCACTTCGGATGTTGTGCAAAGAATGGGCTGTAAAAGGACAAGGGTGGGAAGGAGAGGAACCAGTTAGGAGTCTATGGCAATAGCCCAGGTGACAGATGAAGTGACTGAGATGTTAGTAGCAGTAGAAGAAGGGAGAATGGGTGGCACTGCCAACTAGATTTACTGTTGGGTTGCTTATGGAGAATGCTGGAGGTTTTTGGCTTGAGCAAGTGGAAGATTACAGTTGCCATTTATTAAGATAATCATGACTGTGAAAGGAACGGTTGGTTGCAGAGTTGGGAAGTCCAACAGTTCTGTTTCATTTGTGTTAAGTTTGAAATGGCTTATTAGATATCTAAACCAAGACTAAGAGCAGGCAAATACAGTTCAGGGAAGCAGTTAGAATTAAAGATATAAATTTTAGACAAAACAGAGCAACACTCATCTCAAAGAAAGTAGCAGAGGCCACTGTAGGCTTGAAATGAACTAGTGACTAAAATGGGTGCTGATGTTACTATAGTTTCTATAAAGGAAAAAGTGTGACAACAAATTTCTCTAAATCAGGTTTATATGAAAGAATATAGAGTATGAAAAAGCATTCAGTGTTACACTGCTCTAAAAGCTTTTATATGAAATTGAGTGCAACTTATCATGATTTAGAATTTTCCCTCTGAAAATCCAAAAAAACTACAATCTCAAGTCAGGGAATAAACTATACACATATTTTAAACACATACTTGTTAAATGGCTAAAAGGGCATCTGTTTTGCATTAAGCTGCAACAGTGCACTGTCTATATATATTTGAGTGTATAAAATGCACGGTAAAAATATAGGATAAAAGATCCTTTGTTTTCTTCTTGAAATTTTAAACATTTTTAAATGTCTATGAAGTTTTTTGGGGGGTAGATATGAATTTAATATATATTTAGGTATATTCAAGGAGCTCTGGTGGTGTAGTGGCTAAGGCATTAGGCTGCTAACTGAAAACTCGGTGGTTTGAACCCACTAGCTGCTCTGTGGAAGAAAGATGAGGCAATCTGCTTCTGTAAAAAATTACAGCCTTGGAAACCCAATGCAGGTCTCTATGAGTTGGATTCATCTCAATGGCAGTAAGTTTGGTTTGATTTTTGGTAAGGTATATTCAGGATTTTATCTGAAGTAATCATCTAATGAAAAACCAGTCCAAACAGAATTAATTTGGTAACTTTGAATGAAACCAAAATTAAATATTATTATTTTCTGAACTATGAATCAAATTAAAGGTTTTTCTGAAGTAAGTTTATTCTGGGGGAATTTACAAAAGGAGAGCTAACAAGAGAAATGTCAACTTAGCTACCTCTTCCTCCAGAAAGCATTTCCTGATCCCTGATTTAGTTGACTTTTATTTATCTCTTTAGGAGCATTTCTCTCTCTTATCCAATATGTCCAATCTGTACATTTATATGACCCTGCTCATATCTCTTTGCCCATTCTTTCTCTCCATTCTAGCTCATCTTCAACTTCATCTTCTTTTTCATTAGTCTAATAGCTGGGATGACAGTCCTATCCATCAGATGAGTGTAAGGACTTGTTTGATTCTCTGTTTACTAACCAGGCCTGATACATTAGGCACACAATAAATATTTTCTGAGTAACAGTATGAATGACTCATTCATTGGTGGTAGGAATACAAAAATGGTACAACCACTATATATATATATATATATAAAGAGTTTGGCAGTTCCTCAAAAAGTTAAACATAAAACTATGATTTAAAAAGAAGAAGAAGAAGAAGAAGACGTCACTGCCATCAAGTCAGAGCAGCTGGTGGGTTTGAACTATCAACCTTCTGGTCAGCAGTCAAATGCTTTTGGCACTGTACCACTAGAGCTCCTTAAAACTATGATATGACCTACCAATCCCACCCCTAACTATAGTATATACCCAAAATAATTGACAGCAGGAATGCAAACTGATACTTTGACACCAGTGTTCACTGCAGCACTATTCACAATAGCCAAAAGATGGAAATGATCTAAATGTCCATCAGCAGATGAATGGATAAACAAAATGTGGTACATATATACAATGGAATATTACTCAGTCATAGAGAGAAATGAAGAAGTCCTGATACATGCCAGAACATGGATGAACCTTAAGAACATTATGCTGAGCAAAATAAGTCAGTTCCAAAAGGATAAATTCTATATGATCTCATTTACGTAAAATAGACAAATGTATGAGACCAAAATGGTTACTTGGGGTGGGAAAGAGGGGTAAAGAGGAAGTCATTGCTTAGGGGGCACTGAATTTAATGGTGGTAGGATAATTTGAAAATGGATGGTGATGATAGTTACACGGCATGATGAATGTAACCAATGCCAATGAATTGTACATGTGAAAAATGTTGAATTAGCAAATGCTTTGTTAAATATATTTTTACTACAAATAACAGCTTTTCAAAAAGTATGAATGAATGAATGAATGATAGTCCCCCATTTCTCTCCTTCTCTTTTGCTTCTCTAGTACCTTGTCTTTTCATTGTTCACATTCCTCCCAACTTCTCCTTTTCCTGTTTTCACTATTATCAAACTATCTTGCACCCTCATGTCCCAGTTTGCTCCACTCCACTAAAATAAGGAGGATTTTTAAACAATTTTATTTAACAAATTTTAGGATTTCCTTATTTATATTGTTCTGAATGGTGTAAATAAAGTAGCTAGTAAATTAAAAGCAGTTTTCACCTACTCATACTTTTATTAAAAACGTTGGTTCTATTCGGTACTATCTGGATTAAGAACTCTACCGGAAATACAGTTGACATATATAACTGATAGCACTGGTAGATAGGAGCCAGCTCTCTGGTTTTCCTTTTTTAAATTAAAGAAGAAGTAGATAAAATCTTTGTATGTGTGTAAATGATAATTTGAAAGGAAATCATCTTTACATGAAGAAGTAAAAGAATGAAAATGAAGCCCAGAAATAAAAGTTTAAATATTTTTCAAAGTATTTCATTTCCTTAGGAAGCAGTACAGATAAAACAATTAATAAATGAATACAGCAGAGTGATACATTTAGAAAAGCATATTAATGAATTATTTCAGAAAAAGAAATTAGTGTTTAAAATCTTTCCAAAATTTAAGCATTAAATTAAATTAAATTAATTTAATTAAATTGTGTTTCTGGAGGCTATGCCACCAGTGTTTCAAATGCTAGCAGGGTCACTCATGGTAGACTGATATAGTGCCAGAAGATGGCCCCTAAGGTTGGAAGGTACTCAAAACATGACTGGGGAAGAGCTAAAGAGCTGTCTCCTCAAAGTAGAGTCAATCTTCATGACATGAATGGAGTAAAGCTTCCAGGACTTCCATTTGCTGATGGGCCTCAACTGAAAATGGGAAGAAACAGCTGCAAATATCCATTAATAATGGAACATGGAATATACAAAGTATGAATCTAGAAAAACTGGAAGTTGTCAAAAATAAAAAAGAAACCCCTAAAGATTAATATCCTAGGCATTATATGAGCTGAAATGGACTGGTATTGGCCATTTTGAATCAGACAATCATATAGTTTACTATTCCAGG